TGCCTCAGCCTCCCAAGTAGCTGGGACTACAGGCGCCTGCCACAACGCCTGGCCATTTTTTGGTTGCAGCCATCATTGTTGTTTGGCGGGCCCGGGCCGGGGATTCGAACCCGCCACCTTAGGTGTATGTAGCTGGCGCCTTAGCTGCTTGAGCCACAGGCACTGAGCCAAGAATTGGGTTTAAAGAACAGACAAAAAATCGCTTCCCAGGCAGGGCGAGGTGGCTCGCCCCTGTAATCCTAGCATTCTAGGAGGCCACAGTGGGTGAACCCCTTGAGCTGAGGAGTTTGAGACCAGTCTGAGCAAGAGTGAGACCCCATCTCTAAAAATAGCCAGGTGTTCTAATGGGCACCTGCAGTCCGAGCTACTCAGGAGGCTGAGGCAATAGGATCACTTCAGCCCAAGAGTCTGAAGTTGCTGTGAGCTGTGACGCCAAGGCACTTTATCAAGGGTGACAAAGTGAGACTCTGTTTAAAAAAAAAAAAAGAAAAAGAAAGAAAGAAAAACTGCTTCCTGTTTCAAATCTGCGTCCCAACAATCACTTTCAGGGCTCATCTGATACCGTCTACCTGCATTTGAGGACTAGGAAAGTATTCAAAAACAATTGATATTTATTTATCCATTTATTTGTGGCCAGGATTGGGTTTAAACCCGCCACCTCTGGCATACGGGGCCAGTGCCCTAGTCCTTTGAGCCACAGGCACCACCCAACAATTGATATTTAAAATTTAAACCAAGTTGGCTTGGCTCAGTGCCTGTGGCTCAAGTGGCTAAGGCGCCAGCCATATACACCTAAGGTGGCGGGTTTGAATCCAGCCCAGGCCCGCCAAACAACAATGATGGCTGCAACCAAAAAAATAGCGGGGTATTGTGGCGGGCGCCTGTGGTCCCAGCTATTTGGGAGGCTGAGGCAGGAGACTCGCTTGAGCCTAGGAGTTGGAGGTTGCTGTGAGCAGTGATGCCATAGCACTCTACCCAGGGGGACAGCTTGAGGCTCTGTTTCAATAAATAAATAAATTAATTAATTAATTAATAAACCAAGTTGGCTTGGCACCTGTAGCTCAGCAGCTAGGGCACCAGCCACATATACCGGAGTTGGTGGGTCCGAATCCAGCGCAGGACTGCCAAACAACAATGACAACTACAACAAAAAAATAGCTGGGCATTGTGGCGAGCACCTATAGTCCCAGCTACTTCGGAGGCTGAGGCAAGAGAATCACTTAAGCCCAAGAGTTTGAGGTTGCTGTGAGCTGTAACAGGACAGCACTTTACAGAGGGCAACTTAGTGAGACTCTGTCTCAAAAAAAAAAAAAATACAAAATTTAAACCAAGAAAGTTTGCTTCCTTTTGAGAACCCTTTAAAAAACATATACACTTGCATTTAAAGATGTTTCAAATAATATCTCAAATGTTTTACTCTGAACAATATATTAACAATGTTAAGAGACTAAGTCCAATTTCAGTGATGTCCCTACAGACCTCAAGAATTTAGGTGTCATGGAGGAAAAAAATACACACATACACCCCCACACACAGAGTGAATTTTGAAGTATCCAAAAGGTTATCAGGGCTTAGACATGTGGTTATAAAAGTTGAAGATAATTCAGCCCTGTTGCTGGGCCCACAAAGTCAACCCCACAAAATATGTCTTGCTGCTCTTTTTATGGAAAATTGATAAGTACATACTCTGTGAGCTCTCTGGGATTATTTATTTATTTATTTATTTATTCATTCATTTATTTTTTGAGACAGAGTCTCACTATGTTGCCCTGGGTAGACTGCCATGGCATCACAGCTTACAGCAACCTCAAACTCTTGGTCTTAAGCAATTCTCTTACCTCAGCCTCCTAGTAGGTGGGATTACAGGCACTGCCACAACCCCCGGCTATTTTTTTGTTATTGTTGTCATCGTTGTTTAGCAGGCCCTGGCCGGGTTCAAACCCACCAGCCCCAGTGCATGTGGCTGGTGCCCTAACAGCTGAGTTATGGGATTTATTAATGCTGTTTGCCTCCTTTGCCATACATGGCATGATGGCGTTTTTTTTGCAAGACATCTCTTCTGCATTCGAAATTGAATATAGAACAAAATCCCTTATCAAGTTATTATCTGAAAGTGAAAAATATCCTCGGGCTAGCTGGGAGACTGAGAAGTCATGTGGGTAATTAAATTTGTGCCACTGTGATCTGTGGAGCCAACGGGTAGCTGAGAACAGTGTGTGGCGGGAATAGTGTCTGTTACTAACATGTCACTCAGCCTGGGCAGGGTGGACCACGAAGCTTCAGTTCCTTCATCTCTATCACAAGGGATGCAGGATGTGTCCACACCTACAGGTTGTCAGGGGGTTATGGAAACTGAAGAGGACTTAATCTATGAAAATATTTGGGGGATGTATAAAGCATTATTTAGATCATACGAAAAACTACCCATGAATTATTCATGGAAACCTGTCTGTGAGCACAGAAGAACACCATTCTGCATTTTTCCCCCTTTCACATAAAGAAAATAGCAGAGAACTGTTCTTGGTCAGGAGACCTGGATCACTTTACACCATTCATTAACTTTTCTAGGTTTCAGTTGCCCCATAGTTAAAAAGGAATGTTAATACTAAATAAAATGTTCATAGTTTTAAACCAAATTTGGCCTGTACGAGGCTTTACTACCTTGTACTTCACAAACATCATTTTACCTCTGCATTTTATCTGCAATGTAAATATCGTGAACCCCCTTTCACACGTGAAGACACTTGGACCAGGGAGAGGTTAAGGAACCTGCCCTGAATTACCCAGTGGTGGTGGCAGTGCCAAGATTTAAACCCAGAATGTCTGGCTCCATAAACCACCACACCGAATTCTACATCATCATCTTTGATGTCAGCAAACATGGGCTTGAACGCTTGCTCTGCTCCTTAGCTCTTTGGAAAAATTTCTTCCCCTCCCTCTTTAAGTCTCTGTCAACTCACATTGTAAAATGGAAAAAAATAATAGCTCCCCCTTCATGAGGTTGTGAAGATTAATTCAAGTGCCTGGCACAGAGTCCACGCATAGTACCTATTAGCTACCATCTAAGATATAAATCATTACTGGGTTCCATCCCTTCCCACTCGGCTGGGATGTCTACCCCGCAAATAAAAAGAAAGAACCAGGCTCACTGCTGCTGGGTGAGCAGCAGGAAGGGAAACAGAAGAGATGGCATGGCGAAGCCTTCACTGCAATCTCTCTTTGGCAGGTGACAAGTTCCTTGTCTACTCTGAGACTTAGAACCTTGTCTTCAGGCCAGGCTTTCCAGAGGAGCCCATTTTAACCACTGGCTAATTTCATTCTTAGCCATCATTTTGCTGGGAGGAGGCAGGTCCACTGACTCACAGTGACAAGAGCTGAGGAGAGAAGAGCTCTTCAGAGAGGTTGAACACCCATTGAAATGGAGTATTTTTTCTTTTAACTTTTCCTTATGAAGTTCTTTGGTTCATAGGAAAAGCTGCTGATTCTAAAAGAGTCTGGATGCTAATTCTCCACTCAAACCTAAGCAAATCTGACTCAAACTACATCATCCAACTTAGGTGAATTTAGCAGTGCCCAGTGGGTATGGGTCTATATCACTTTAAGGTCACCCCAGTTTTCTGTAAGGCCCCCAACCCACTCTACCAGCAACTCATGGCTACACTCAAATCTGCCCACTTTTAGATTCTTTCAGCTGTAGCTATGAATTGGTTCCACAGACCCACACTGAGTCATTGCCATGCAACAGGCTGTACTCTTTAAGTGGATTAATAATCATCACATGATGTTAGTAAACACTTGTAGCACAGATCCATAGATGATGCCCAGCAAGATAATAAACAAACAAGGCAGTAAAAAAAACCCAACTTATTTACAGAAGCACCTCTCCCTTTTTTTTTATTTTTATTTTTGGGGAATCATTGAGAGTACAACAAGCCAGGTTGCACTGTTGCATTTGCTGGGTGAAGTCCCTCTATTAAGAGTGTCCTGCCCCCAAGAGGTGTGTCACACATCGTGGCCCCACCGTCCCCTCCCTCCTTCCCTCTCTCACCACCCTCCATCATGTACTAGCATGGGTTGCCATGGAATACTATATAGCCACTAAAAAGGATGATGACTTTACATCTTTTGTATTAATTTGGATGGAGAAGAAATAATTCTTCTTAGTAAAGCATCACAACAAACAATGGAGAAGCAAGAAACTGCTCCTCTTTTTATTTACTAACTTGTCCTTACTGTCTGCCCACAATGAACACGTCATAGCCTGTGTATCTCTAAGCACAACAAAGACCTGCAGTTCCACGCATACAGGACTGGGTGGGACGCTTAAAAAACCCCAACTGATTATCCTATGAACAAACCACCGGTTGGCTGCTTCCTATTTGTTAACTTATTTTCTCTTGTTGACAACCCTATGAAAGAAGTTAATTTTCCTATATAACTTGGCTCTTTTACAAGTAGCACGTCATATTGCTAGCACCCAGCATGGTGCTAGAAACAGATCTTTCTAATCCTTGTCTTTTTTTTTTTTTTTTTTGAGACAGAGTCTCACTTTGCTTTCCTTTGTAGAGTGCCTTGGCATCATAACTCACAGCAACTTCAAACTCTTGGGCTCAAGTGATCCTCTTGCCTCAGCCTCCCAAGTAGCTGGGACTACAGGAGCCCACAATGAAAACAGATAAGGATCTTGCTCTTGCTCAGGCTGGTCTCTGGAGCACAACAGATCCACCTGCCTTGGCCTTCCAGAGTGCTAGGATTTACAGGCATGAGACACCCTGCCTGGCCCAATCTCTTATTTTTTAAGAGGCTAGTCAAAGGGGGATAGTCATAGACGGGAAGCACTATCTCTGGAAAAGTGTGAGCTTCCTTTGTCCCTGGGTCAGATTCATTTTCCTGGAAAAGTTAATAATATGACTTTTGGTACTAGAACTCAAGTCAGCAGTCCCTAAAGACCCCAGCTGGTTCCTTTCTGATTGAAACCACCAAGAAGACCAGAGCCCGGTAGATTCCCAATTATTCCTGAAGTTGAACATCATCCTCCGGGCCTGCTTGCTTCGCACCTTCTCTTTCTCCCTCCCTCTCTGTCTCCCCCCACCCCTTCCCCACCCTTTTCCCTCTCCCTTCCCTTCTCTCAGCTACCTTTGGAGTTACAGTTGCAGGGCAGACAGCGGTCTCTGTCTCTGTGCCGGTAAAACCCCTCCTTGCACCTCTCGCAGTGAAAGCCCTCGGTGTTGTCCTGGCAGTTGAGGCAGCGGAGTCCCCTGCCTGTCTGCCTGTGAAGCTCGAAGTCGAAGACACACGTCCTGGATTTCCCATTGCAGTCACATTCTAGGGAGGAAGGGGAAAAACATCGTCAGAAAAAACCCAGGGGCAATTCTCCCACGTCTTTTGTTATTATTGGTAACAATTATGCACAAGGGGCTCTATGTTCATTCATGCTACTTGAAGGAGTGAGGTAAGGCAGTGGGGAGTGTGGGCCACTACCGAGCGCTGGTGGGTGGCTGCCAGGGGGAATGCAGGTTCAGGGTTGCCAGACGGTCCGGTTCCTCAAAAGAAACCAAACCCTTAAATTATGTTTTTATGTGAAAATTCCTGATTTAAATATCTGCAAGGAGTTCATTTTAAAACACTGGGCAAGTCTGTGAGCTGGAAAAGACCTCAGCACCCTTAGCTGACAGTATCTGGCGGCCAATCGATATCCACAACGCCTGTCCCTCTGGTGATGGTCAAAGTGAAGAGGTGACGACTATCTGGACAGGTGTCTTCTCCCCCCTCACGGTGCCTTGAATATTCTTCCCAAAGCCAGGTGCCAAAAAGAACTATAGTCCCAGAAGAATGACTTTTCCCAAGTGTCTAGGAAGTCCATCCTATGGACGTTGGTCACTCGTAGGTTGCCCAACATGGAAATACTTAGCATAGTACCTGCGACACTGTAGACACTTGAAAAAATGTTTCAGTCATGGTTTAGAAGTGAAAAATGATGGATTTGGGGGTTAAAAGAATTGTATCAAATACTAGTTCTACTATTTCTTTGGGCAAGTCATTTCAGTTTTCTGAATCTTGTTTCTTCTTCTATAGATGCAGACCTCATTATCAATCTCCCCGAATCGTTAAAAGGATCCCCCTGATGAAAGAATGTCAAGCCCTTTGCACATGCTCCTTCATCCCTCTCTCACAGGGGCAAGCCTTGCCTCAGAAGAGAAAATGCAGCCTGGAGAAGGTTAAGTAACCCAACCCACGGGAGAACTGGGATTTGAACTTCTGTCTGATGCCAAAACCTGCTTTCCTCCCACTGTCCACACTGTCTCCAGCAGCCATGCAGCCGCTCTGACAGCCTGTTTCTAGGGCCACGTCTTACCCAGAGTGCTGACAACAAAGTCAACAAATGTGGCGACACATGCTGGGCAGCTGCCCCGTGTGGGCCCAGCATCAAGCTCGGAAGAAACAAAGGGGACAGAGTGAGCTTCCTAAGTGACTGCCTTACGATAATTTCTAAAACTCTCTTGCTATTTTGGGTGCCATCTAACTTAGGGGAAGTCAACTAACATCTATCCAAGGCCTACTCTGTTTCTGGGACTTTACATATATCTGCTCAGTTAATTCTCACAATTACCATTTTCGACATGGGTTTTATTAATATTATCCCCATTTAATGTCTGCACAAACAAACATGCAGAGAGGCGAGGTATCTTACCTAAAGGCACACAGATAAATGGCAAAGATAGATAACTTGCTCCTAGGTCTGTCTGACTCCAAAGGCCTCATCTTTCCATTCTACCCTACTTCTCAAGATTTGGGTTTGCTGCTGCATGAAGGCTATAAATCCCCAATAGGGGGTCATTCCACCTCTTCCTGAATTCTTTCTATTCTGTAAAATGCCCTGTTCCTCCTTAATTAGCACTGGCTGTTACAAGCAGTAACATTTTTGTACAGTGTTTTAAATCTACCTCTGTCACTATAATATTCATCCCATGTTTTTGTACTTCCCTGGAAAACAACACACACTCAACCCATACGTACAGCCCCTTATTCTCTTTGCATTCTTTCATTTCTTAAACAGACATAAACTTCAGACATTGTTTTACAGGGCCCTGCATCAGTGGAGCCTTTGAGTATCTGAAGATAACTCCAGCATCCCCCTCCCTGTCTCCTCCATTTCAAGTCAAACTGGAGATCTGTTTAATTTCAACCATTTCCCATGTCATAATTTCTGAATTCTTCTTGACTACTCTCCCAAGTACAAATTCTAATTCTCAGTGTCCCTCTTAAAATAACCAATACGTCAAGTGTCGTTTGAATAGCTCAGCTTACAACAGGACTAGATATTTTTATTCCATGGATGAAGACTAACATTGCATTAAACTTATAGCATAGTAAATCTGCACTCAATTCAAACACCCAGGGTTTTCAGAGAACTAGTGCCAAGCTGAATCTTTCCCAACTAATGCTTGTGAAACTGCTTTTGTAGATCTCTAACAGATGTGTTACCCAGCTGTCATGCACTGTGAAATTTCCACCGAGCACATGTTATGCAAGTACAAGGGCTAAATTCACCAGCCAACAATCTTTGTGAGGGTTCTAACCCATAACCCAATAAGCCTGTGCCCTCCCTGCCCTGGGTGCCTTTTGGAAGAAATCTCAGAATAACTACAAACTTTTCACTGTGCCATTCTTATTCAGAACATACTTGTTGTAGGTAATAATTAACTTCCTGAGAACGGCTCATGATGATGCATTTATTCAGAACAATCTTTTTTTTTTTTTTTAAGAAACAGAGTCTTGCTCTGCTGCCCAGGCTAGAGTGCAGTGGTGCAGCCATAACTCACTGAAGCCTTGAATTCCTGGGCTCAAGTGATCCTCCCACCTCAGCCTCCCATTCTTTTTTCTTTTTCACAGAGAAGGGGATCTCACTGTGCTGCCAAGGCAGGTCTCAAACTCCTGGCCCCAAGCTATACTCTCACTTCAGCCATCCAAAGTGCTAAGATTGCAGGCATGAGTCATCATGCCCAGCCCACAGTAATCTTTTCAAAATAGACAAATTTGTTACAATTTTTATATACCACTCCCCTCTTCTGTCCTTTCTCCTTTAAAATTCTACTTTGAAGAAACAAAAAACAAAAACAGGAGTTCTTTCTTTAAAAGAAGAGCCTTCCATGGAGGTCATTACAGTTCCAGGGAGGGAGGTCCTTAGCCAGCATCTCCCATAATCTCTAGAGCTTGTTCAAAAGGTTCCAAGCCTCCTTCTCTCTCATATGGGTTTCCCTTAAAGCCAAGAGCATATGGATGGAGCGGGAACATATCCTACTTAGTAAAGTATCTCAAGAATGGAGGAAAAAGTATCCAATGTACTCAGTACTATTATGAAACCAATTTACAATCACTCACACTTTCATATGAAGAATAGATGACAACTATGGCTCAGGATGAAGGGGTGGATGGGAGGGGAGGGGGAGGTCAGATGGAGGGAGGGTGAATGGTGGGATCACACCTATGGTGCATATTACAAGGGTACATGTCGGATCTATTAAGTATAGAGTATAAATGTCTTAACACAATAATTAAGTAAATGAGGTGAGAGAAATATTAACCAGTACGATGTAAGCATTTCCAAATTGTATATGAAATCGGCACCTTGTACCCCATAAATGCAGTAATGTATACATGATCTACCTCTTTATGATTTAATTTCTTTAAAAAAGCCAAGAGCAATGTCCACTAGAGGGAAGGGATGTGTGGGCCTCCTGTCCAGGGAGTGTATTGGCCTTAGGTGTTTGTCTTATGTGAAACTCCATGAAGATACTCTCTAGCTTTGCCTGCAGGACTTAAGTTCTCAGCTGCAATGAGCCACACACTTAACTGCACTTAGTTCAATATTGAGTCTTCCAAACACTCACAACAAGAAGATAAGGGAAGAGCTCATTCTGGGCTTATTTTCATTAGAATGTTTTTTTTGTTTTTGTCATTGATGTATTTGAAACATCGTCAAATTATCTCCCAAATTTAAACTAATTGCCCTAAAACCAATTATTATTTATTCTTGCTATTGGGGAAAATGTCTTTATATCTTAAATTCTAGAATATTCCTGCAACTAGGCATAATAAAATGGGCATAGTATAGTTTGCCCATGGTCTTTTTCATTCTGTGTCCAACTCCTGCCCAACCACTGCCACGGGCACACTGGTTGCCAAAGGGCATAAGGTAGGGTGGGGACTCTGCCAAAAGGGCTAAGGAGAAGCAGCATCGCACCCCAGCCAGTTGTACCCACATGCAGCTGATGCTTACCATAGTCAGTAGGTCCCTTTGCGCTTTTTAAATGAGACAGAAATCTGCTTTTGTGTATGAAATCTGCTTTTTTAAACAATGCCCAAAATTTTTTAAAAAAAATTTTATGTTGCCCAATTATTTATTAATTTTTTAATTGTTTTTAATTTTCAAATTAATACGAGGGTACAATTTTTAGGTTACATTGTTCTCACTTCCAGGGTAAAGTTCCACTTGTAGAAGAGCCCCTCACCGAAGAGGCACGTTATACACCCTCACCATGTGCACCTTAGGTGAGATCCTGCCTCGTGCCCTCCCTCCTTCTGCCATATGTCCTCCCCCTCCTGGTTCCCTCTACCCCCGAACTGGAGAACTGGTTCCCTCTACCCCCAACTGGAGAACTGGACTATATTAGTGTTTTATTGTTCTTACGAGCATATAATTCTTTATTGATTTCATATTAGTATGGAGTACATTGGATATTTATTTTTCCATTCTTCTGATACTTTACTAAGAAGAATATATTTCAATTCCATCCAGGTAAATGTAAGATATAAAGTCTCTATATTTTTAATGGTTAAATAATATTCTATGGTACATATACCATAGTTTGTTGATCCATTCATGGGTTAATAAGTACTTAAGATTGCTTCTGCAACTTGGTATGATGAATTGAGCCACAATAAACATTCTAGTACAAATGTCTTTGTGGTAAAATGATTTTTGTTCTTCTGGGTAGATACCTAGTAATGGGATTGAAGGGCCAAATGGAAGGTCTACTTTTAGATCTTTGAGAATTCTCTATACTTCTCTCCAAAAAGGCTGTATGAGTTTGCAATCCCTCCAGCAGTGTAGAAGTGTTCCCTTCTCTCCACATCCACGCCAGCATCTGGTGTTTTGGGACTTTGTGATGTGGGCTAATCTTGTTGGGGTTAGATGATATCGTAGAGTGGTTTTGATTTGCATTTCTCTGGTGATTAATGACGTTGAGGGTTCAGCGCCCATAGCTCAGGGGTTAGGGAACTGGCCACATACACCGGAGCTGGCAGGTTTGAACCTGGCCCAG